ATAGACTGGAGGTAAACAGGTCCAAACTATAGACTGGAGGTAAACAGGTCCAAACTATAGACTGGAGGTAAACAGGTCCAAACTATAGACTGGAGAATAACAGGTCCAATATATAGACTGGAGAATAGACTGTATATAATAAAGTACAAACTACACACTGTATATAAACAGGTACAAACTATAGACTGGATCATAGACTGTGTATTAAAATGTTCTGTGTATAAAAAGGTGCTGTATATAAAAGGTACTGTGTATTAAAATGTGCTGTGTATAAAAAGGGACAAACACACACCCTGACCTGCAGCCACAGTGAGTGAGCGCCCCACTGACTGTAAACATCTATGTCCTTTATGTTGCAGCTGAATGCAGATGTTGTCCCAAAGACTGCAGGTGAGTTTAACTGTTTCTCCTCATAAATAACAGTTGATTGTAAAAAATACACATTTAAATTGAATTCTAATGATTTATTATGTGTTTGCATTGTAACAGAAAACTTCAGAGCTCTGTGCACAGGGGAACATGGCTTTGGATACAAGGGCTGTGTGTTTCACAGGGTCATACCTGAGTTCATGTGTCAGGTAACTGTGTTCATCATGGGATCAATTCAAGGTCACTGAGTTATTGTCTGTGTCGATATGGTCAAAAATGATATCAAGATAAAAATGTTCTTATTAATAATTATCATGATAAATATCTAATTATTATTATTTTTCCTGTCCTGAGTGAAGGTTGTGGTTTTAGATTCTAATCCATTGTGCCTTGTAGCTGTAGAAATATTTTGTGCATGTGATAAAGGTTTGTGCACACAGATATAATCATGCTCTGTAGTGACGGAGTCTATGTTTTCTGTGACAGGGAGGAGATTTCACCAAACACAACGGCACAGGAGGGAAATCTATATACGGGAAAACGTTCAGAGATGAAAACTTCAAATTAAAACACACTGGTCCAGGTACGTCTTCACACTGTTACTGGACGAACGTAGAGGACACAATCTATTTTTCATTTGTAATCCATCCACGGTGCAGATTTATTATGTCCAACAGCTTTGTGTGCAGATCCATGAGATAACTCATGTGTATTAAAGACAAAAAATAGAAATATTCAGTATTATTTATTATTTTTGGAAGGTTCCTGGGCTGAAGCTGAAACAATCAGTCAATATCTTGACTGTTGTATTGAGTCAGTTATTTAACACCACTCTGCTGAGATTTTTGTGTTTTAATACATCTGCCTCTCCACTAGATGGCAGTGCCTAATGTCGTGCAGCTCTAACATAATATTGACTGTATTGATTTTGCAATCATCAGGTGAATGACCGACTTTTTAGCAGCTGAGCTATTATTAATAAAAAAAAAAAATGTTTTCAATAAACTTAATCCTCATGCTGATCGTTTGGGGCTTTGTTTTAAATTGCTGCAAAATCAGTTAGTGAAAAGAGACACAGGCTCACGTCATGCTTTGGTTTTGCTCTGTCAGGCCTCAACGTCACTGAATCGGAGGTTTATTGATTTACTCGTTGGTTTACTCGATGTCTGCAGGAACTCTTTCCATGGCGAACTCAGGGCCACACACCAACGGCTCCCAGTTCTTCATATGCACGACAAAAACCGAATGGTAAATACTTTACAGAACTTTTTAATCACGTGTCTCATCTCTGCACTCGCTGACATCCCCTTTTTTTTGTCCCTCCTCTGACAGGCTTGATGGTAAACATGTGGTGTTTGGGCAGGTGACGGAAGGTATGGACGTGGTCACCAAGATGGAATCCTTCGGTTTACACGATGGCGGCGTGATCAAGAAAATTGTCATAAGTGACTGTGGTGAGATCAAATGACACCTCACATGTGGACTTCTGTGGGATGACTCAGTACAAAGCCATCTGGTATTTTTAATCCATCTTTCCTCCTGTACTCATAAAACCTTCGACGAGGTATGAAAAAAACCAGGTATCAAATGTTTGTATTGTGTGTTTGCTTTTAAATAACATTATAACGGAACCACTGGGAGTTTAATTGATACATTTATACCTCTCGTCACAAATCCCTTTCTTTTCTAAGCTTAAATTGCCCACTGAAAGTTTGTTATCTATCCACCACCAAATAAATGACCATTTTCAGATTTTACAAGTTCTGGTCTTGGTACGGGACGTTTCCTCTCGAGTTCCACAAACACTGCTGGTTTTAAAGCTTCCTGGAAACAACCCAGCAGCTTTTTTTAGACGCTGGCCCTCCAGCACAACTGACTTCCTGTCCCGTCCGAGCAGGATGTGACATTACATGACATCCACCTATAGTGGAGCTGAAACATCACATGAAAGAAGTTGCTGGATGATGGAGTTTGTCGACTGTGGCCTCGTCTGACAGAGATAATTCAATCAGCGTGACTCGTAGAGAAACCTGTGAAGAGGTTGAGGTTGTAAAGTGGGCAGCTCGTCCTGCACAGCAGTGTGTGGAGGAGACGGAGACAGAGAGGAAAGCCAGGACATGTCTGAGAGCCAGAGACTGGGTGGTGCTGCTTATCGAGCTAATACTTTATGAAAGTAAATAATGAAGCGACGTGAAAAAAGCAGCTCTCGCCCCTAAATGAAACCATATGCGCGCTGACCTTCCACCGTTTGTTTGAATTCTCAGATTACATTGTTGCCATAGAGACTTTGCGGCCCTCGCTGAGATGTTGTAACAAACTTGATATAATTTGCGTCCCCACCCTCTGGTTTAGTTTAGTTATTTGGAATGCATGTCCAATATTGTGCATGGAAACTTGGCTGGAGAGACGGCAGCGCTGTTGCCAATGTTTAATACACATGCAAAACAGTGACATCTTTAAAATTGCTGTGAATGTTTATATTTAAGACGCAGCCCACATTTCAGCCGCTTTTTGTGTTTTGGTTTGAAATGTCCACACTTTGACGCTCAAGTGTTGAAATCAAGTCCTGAAAGCTCCATGCGTCTTTTATCTTTCAGCATTTTGACAGAAAGCAAGAAAAGAATGTCCCGTCCTCGTCTGTGTTACACAACAACCATGAATAAACCTTTAAAAACTGATTTCATCACAATCTATACGCTCGTAGCTGAGTGAGGTTGAAAATATATTCTCTCCGTGATAATTACAGTACAGGAGACAGGAGCACTCAGAAAACTATGTGTTACTCCTTAATGAAACTCCACAGAGTGAACACCTCCCAGTTACTGTTGACAACAACTCAGCACAGGACCCAAACAAATGAAACCACACAATTCCACATGCTCTTAATTCAATATGATTTTTATTCATCAAACTCTCGACAGCTCTACAGCACTAAAATGTTTTTTTCCAGACTAACAAATAAGGCACATTTTGGAATGCCATTTCATGGACATGAAAAACAGACCTGCGGTCTACTCTCTAAACCATGACTGCTCTTGTTTCCCAAAAAAGTCATTGTCTTCCCAACCTCACGGCTGCGTTCTGTCCAATTCAAATATTACAGTATTGCAATATCGCATTACAAACAGACATTAAAGAATACACACACCACTTTCCAAATCGACCACATAAGTGTTAACACATTACATTCAGTAAATATGTGTTATTCGTCGAGGCTAAGCTAGCGAATGTAAATGAGCCATTAATTTTTTTATGACTAATAACAATCAGGAGTTGCTGATAATGTTAAAAACAATATGTACTAAAGCAAACTACCATAAAAGTATTTAAATAAGTATACATTGCACAAAATGATATTTTCATTCAAATTCCAAACACATGCACATGCAAACTCTAAAACAGTTCTTTGTCTCACACGCTCCCTCGACACTTCCTGTACTACTAATAACATCGTAACATTTTATAATAGTTTCTCATTGTTGCTGCTTTAAGCAAACTACATCTCACAGTTTACGCGTGTATACAGTGGTGAGTGTCCGTCGCTACTTAAGAAACAAACAAAGATTTCTGCATGTTAACACAATATATCTTCATAATATTGTAGTTACTGTTTACAAAATGAATACATGCGACTGGGTGTAAATGGCAGCTCATAGTTAGTTACACATAGCAACTGAATAACATTGTGGGTTATTCGATAACATCATAAAACACAAAAGTACAATGGCTTACAATAACTGAGAAAGGGTATTAATTATGTACCAGCTTTTTTTTAATAATATTCTATGTAGACATCAATATTTCCTTCTTAGTGTAACTTTGTTGCATATTCTATACAAAAAGTGTTGTAAAAAATCTTTTCCATAAATATTTCTGCAGGATAAGCCCCTCAGATTCTTGTAAAACATAAAGAAAACAAACAGACTCCCAGCTTTATTTCTCAGCAATAGGCCCTTCTTCACACAAGAATATTGCATAAAACTTCAAAAAGATCCTTAAAGACGATGGCCATCAAATATATACATACAACAGTCTTATCTTTGTCAGGGAAATAACTCTCGAGTTTTTTTGCAGATTGCTTTAAAATTTTCAACATCTATTAAGTGTTTTTCCAAAATACACATCTCATTTATAGAAAAAAATAATAATTTGAACTGAAAAGGTACTATAAAAGTCAAGTATATGTAAGTCAAGACACTACGTCTGAAAGCAGTGATTTCTTCTAGCTGCTTCCATCTCCTCTTGATTTGCCATTTAAAATGGACGCCTCATAATACGTCTGGGCGGAATCAAACTCTTCCTCTCACCTATTTCTCATTTCTATTCAACCACAACACTGAACTACGATAACATTGTTACTTGTTTGTGAGGTTAGTTCATAAGGCATCATTGGTATATATTTTTATATATATTCCTCTCTCTACAGCCACATGGTACGATGTGGACGACAGGGTTCAGACATAAAGACCTGTGAGGTTAGTCTCATCACAAAAAAGCTAAAGAAAGACGATGCTAACAGTAAGAAACGTGGATTGTTCCCTGCAGTGATGGATCTAAAGGAGCCTCTTCATTCAGTTTACGTCTTAAACGTAAGATAAATGCTGCTAGTTCCTTATTTTAAAGGGGCACTCCACCAATTTTACTCATGACGCTCAGTGTGCATGTCAGTGAGTGTGCTGCAACATGCATGATGAAAACAGCTGAATCATGTCTTCTGTGGCTTTGTCAAGTCTGAGAAAATAACCCAGATATCATAGTGATGTTATTCACGTTATCTCCACTTGGGAAAGATGCAATTAAATTGCATTATAGGAAATGTAGGACCTATGTGGCTTGTATAGTGCATATGGACAAATTCAAAAATCCTGAACACAAGCTGTTTTAAAGGTCTGTGTATTTACCTGGCAGGGAAAGATGCAGTTGAGGTGCATAATGGGAAATGTAGGATCCATGAGGCTCTCAACCCAGATGGTGTCATAGTGATGTCATCATTGTCACAGTGATGTCATCAGGGCTATCTCTGCTTGGGCTTGGAGACACATGGAGAAGTTGTGGAGTTTTAAAGTTGTGGGCATTTACCTGGCAGGGAAAGATGCTATTATGGCAAGTTGCATTATGGGAAATGTAGAATCCAATTGATTTTTTGGAGCTTGAGTCATACCAAGGACAGAAAGTAAGGATATGACTCTTCTGCACTTATTTAGTTTTTAGTGTTCAGTACTGAATCACTGGAGTGCCCCTTTAACTTTAGTGATAAATACTAACTCATCATTTCCTGAAACTGTACGGTACCATTTTCAGCCACTGCAAACTCTCCCACCAAGGCAAGGACCATGTCTATTTCTCGACAAAACCCATAGTTTCTCAGATACACATAACTACAATAGCCAGAAAAAAACAAAGAGCGAGGTCCACAGTTTGGTGTGCGACTCCATTCTGTTGTGATGATGGACTGAGGAATAACATCTCTGTTGATATTCCATGACAACAAACCACAGGAGGATTATTGTTGCCAGCTGGAAACGCTGGTTTAGCCTTTGCCTCCCCCTCAGCTAACCCTGCCGATGCCAGTTCAAACTGCTAATAGAGGAACTCTGTCCCTTTGTCACTCTCGTCCTTTGTCACATCTTGAACCTGCATTAAACATCTATGCACCACAGTTACCACATGCACATACTGCACACTGCTCCATCTCTGAGCCTAAATCCCCCACGTCTTTTACTCATTTCAAACAGCCTCCTGGTCTCGATACTTCAGAATGATTTCAATCTTTTTAAGGCACACACAGTATGGTACAATATAAAATACAGTCAACCAGCTTTTGTAAGGCCAGAAATACAGTACGTAGAAATATAGTTCACGATTCCTATAACGGGGTTCTTTTTAAAAGGCAGGATTCTGAAAACCTTAATTTCCTCTGTCGTGCTTCAGGTCTGCACAGTGATCTATGTAAACAGGTGTGTGCTTCTCTTGCTTTAAAGACATTGGTTTAGGCCCCATTAAATGAATACAAGTGTAAACTCAATTCATCACCACTTTCCATATTTCCTTGAATCTCCAGCATCACCACGTTACAACTCAGCCCTTTCTATATTAAATCTTATTGTTTCTCTCAAACAACCTGGAAATCGTTGCAGTTCTCAGAGGCTTCACCTGCGTCTGGACACGCTTTACACTGCGGTCGGCTGCTTGACAAAGTTCTGAAGGGAGCAAGCCCTCGAAAAGTTTCCATTTGCTTCACAGTCTCCACTAATGTTGCCAGGCATCAATTAAAACTAAATGGGTCGTTAAATGTCTTGAATCTCCTTTGTATTATACTCATTTCTGACTAATCAGACTTTACATGTGAATAGTTTAACCTCAGTCATCTAATGCTAACTGAATAAGGCGGGTAGATCTTATCGCCAAAAGCTTGTTGACATCTTTTTCAGCGTCTTCTACATTTTTGGCACCTCTTTATCGTCCTGAGGTAAATGTATTCTTTCTTTTTTCAGTTTTGGGTCTGTTACTTGTTAGAAACTTCATCAACATGCACACTCGCTCTCACTAAATTCTCCGGACAATATCCTGCTGGATTCTCACATGGGCTCACTCGGACATTCTCTGGACATTTCACTCGGGAGCTGGCAGGGAAAAAAAGCCCAGTGAATGTCCGGAGCAACTGACATTTGTGTTCTCATATACAGACCCTTCAGATTCAATTGCTTTGAACAAAACTGAATATTCAGCACTGGCAAGATTGTTTCTGAAACCAGTTTTTTTTCGTACATTTCCCTCTCGATTTCTTGCGGTAAATTGTGCTAATTTGAAAGCATTTCTGAAATCTGTACCTACAGATGAGACTTATATAGCTAACACTACAGATACTGAAGAATTTGTTGGGCAACAAAAATACTCCAGGGGAGCATAAGTGAAACCTTATCTGTTAGCAACACACTAAATGTGGACAACTCTACGCAACTGAACCTACAGTAGTTTCTAAAGACACATGGAAGCAGTTACACAATAATGTGATATACAAACATACAAAAAAACATTTCTTATGTCCCAGTTAAAATTCAAATTGCACACTAGAAAACAAGAAAATAAATAGGCCAAATGTAAGCTAGGGATGTATGGCACATTATCCCTCAGTTAATTCACAGTTAATAACATGTGCTGTTGACCCTAATACGGCAAGACATCGAAGGGCCCCCTGTACATTGAACCATCGGGAGAGGCCCCGGTTAAATGTTCATCACATTAGCACACTCTTCACTTGGCAGGGAAAATGAAAGGCTGATCTCTGTAAACACAAAGCCAACAAACCCCAAGGTGAGGTAATCTATTGAGACCAATACTATCAGTGACACCAATACATTGATAAGGTGATGTTAAATGTGAAGGTGGATGAGTGGGGTAGTGTGGTTTCTAATACACAAGACAAAAAATCACTGGTTTTGGCAAGTTTTATGCCCTCAATGAAGAGCACTTGAAAAGATTCATCTTCGGTTTATGTGATCCTCTCATTCCTTCAATACTGAAAAAGGCATAAAGGCTAAAATCTGTGTGAGGGACAGATTCATTTGCCTCGGTGAAGGAAGGCATCGAAGAGGAGGGAGGATTAGAGCAATCGAAACACAGAGGGGAAGACGTGAGAAGGAGAGGACGCCATGTTGTGTGCAGAACATGGACGAGGGGGAACCTGGGTGTGAGATGGGCAGGGAGGAGGTTAACAGCCTTGATGGAGGATGAACGTCAGGACTTGGGACACAAACGTTGCTCTCTGACTCTCTGAGTTTGACGATTATTGCACACGGCGGCAGTAGTAGCCCAGGACTTTGCATTTCTCGCACAGGTGTTGTGGGTGCTCCTTACTCTGGTCAGAAACATCCAGGCCGTCCGGCTTCTCCAAGGGGCGCTGCGAATACAAGCACAGGACCAGTAATGAGTTGTATTAAAGGCTGAGGAGAACAGAGCACACGCTGTTTTTTGCAGGCAGTTTACTTGGCACCAGATTCAACTCAGATATATACGCCTACGTACTTTGGCCTCCAACATAACTTCATATTTTTCCCTAGACCTGGCGTCTACTAAACACAATTAGCTGCAGAGATATGGCAATGCACCATCTGCCACGGAAACTTGCAGAATGTATTTGATCACGATGACCTGAATGGAAATATCACCCAACTGCAGCAGCAATGGCTTTCTTGGAATCATTATCAGGGACAAAGGGAATCTATTGGGAGGCAGGACATTCGGGGGGTTTGGTTAATAACCTGTATGGAAAATGTATTTCACATCCTTTGTTCTTTTCTTGTTTATTTCAAGTTTAACTGAAGGTGGGGTCACTGCAGGGTGATAATTCAGTCATCCACTAATGAGTCTGCCAGGAAGTATTGAGACTTTATCATCGTAGCGTCAAAGACATTTGGTCCTTGAGGTAAGCTGGAAAATCAGATGTGTATTATGGAGTCCCCTCGGTTTTGGCTGGAGCTGGATTCAAGCCCCTTTGCTGCAGGCTTCTATCCTGCTGAAGGGTCCTTGAGCAACAAGATCAAGGGAATCAGTTTAGAAGCTGCCGGCTGACCTCATTCCATTTGGAGGAGAGAATAGAGAATTTTTCGCCTGCAGTTATCGATAATGTACAGTTTAACTTATTTGTGTTTGGCAGAAAAAAGAAATCAAATGGGGAAAAAATGTAGGTAGTATTTGAGATGAGGGGGCTTTGGCTTCTTTTCAGGAAAATTGGGGACACAATGTAGTTAAGGATTCATAAAACAGACAAAAAACATACAAATATATTACAGCTGTAAATGGTGTTCCAGTTGTGGGGTCATATAAATCTCATCATTCACTTCTTTTCCCAAACACATGCGGAGGAGGATGAGTAGTGTCTGCCAAGCTTCCGCTAAACACGAGGTTAAAGCAGCGTCTATGTAGCCTGAGAGACGAAACCAGGAGCCAAAAAATCCAAGCCACAGCTAGAGTCACTGAACTAGCTCAAATGATCAGTTACCGTTTTTGTTTGCTCCATTAATGAAGGGGCAGCTTGATAATAGTTCACATAAGATTTGCACCATTTTGGCCTTAGTTTGAGTAAGGTTGTACAAAGGTGCATGAAGCTACAGCTAAATTAGCTTCCTCACTTTTGGGCTCTCTTTCCTTAAAGTCCAACATTGTTGGTTTGCTACTGATGCAAAAGTTCAGCAAAGTTAAAGCAACACTATGTAGCTTTTACTGAACAACAGCGCCCTCTGCAGCCACAAGTGGTGATAACCTCTGTTGGACTTCGTTACCAAGTAAATTAAGTGGTTTTCATGGAGTGAAAATACAAAGCCTATCAATGTGTTTAGCAGAGTCCAACGTACTGAACTAAAACACTGAAAGATGGATACTTGTCAGGACCCCCGCCTTCTGTTTAAATTCAGATTCAGAATTCAAAGTTGATTTACTTCGCTAACTGCGACCGAATCTGTTTGAAATATTGGTGGTGACTGGGCCTTAATAGTGAGTAACAAGTGAGGGTGACCGAGATGGATCAACATTTTCACCAACTCATCTGGATAACGGCAGCTGGACAGCAAGGGGGCGCTGTGCAGAGAGATTTTAATTTGTAAATCAAGTGAAACCTGTACTTTTGGGAGGTGGAAATATGATTTTAGAAAAATAGGAAGAGCATTTCCCTGATCATCCCCAGGGGAAATTGTGGCCTTGGCTTGATTGGAATGCAATGGACGTTTAATAAATATAATCCCCAGATAAGAGGGACACATATTTTATACGTGTTGATGGGATTGGGAAATACATATTTGATTCATTTATGGGAACAGACAGGAGAGGGGGAGCCACACTGCTCTCTGATTGAGGTTAGTGGTCCATTTTAAATGCTGACAGGGGGGAAAGATTTGAAGCGGGTGACATTACAAATGCAGGGAATTTGCTTGCCTGTGTGCGGCTGTGCCACAAGAGGTTTTCTCACCGGTGGAATTCATGGAGCAAAACGGTTTTCAGTGAGAAATACTTGCTTCCAGTTTTTAAGAGAGTGAGGCAAATGTTTTTGATTACGATCTCAGATTGATGGAAATGCAAGTGTATAAACGAAAAGATTGGGAATAATTAACTTTCCATTGTCTGGGAATGTTGCAGCTACTTGCCACACATTTGGGCTGAATATGTCGCTCTGTCCATTTCATGAAAGTGTTAATGGACTGACGTCGGCTGTGGCGTTCAGAGAACAAGTAGGGGCCTCGGGCAGAGATCCTAATTTTGTTTCAGGAAGTGGAATTGGAAGAATGTGGAAAAGCATAAATATTACAGAATGAAGTGTTGAGTATAAATATATCTCTCGCTGAAGGAAACCGGGTGGATTCTTTCTCAGGCGATCCGTCTCTTTCGTCAACACGCTGTAAGGAACATTTTTGAGGTTAAGCCGAACAGACAGCTCACCAGCACATTAATTCCCTCTGAGTGTTTGCTGTTTGGAGAAACACTCCGCAGGATCTCGGTGAGTGTGATTTCACTTTCGTATTATTGAGCAGGAGAGGAATTTCTGCAGCTGTAAGCCCCAATTACCCCAGAGTTAGTTTGTGTCTGGAAGCCATTAATAGAGGAATATTTGTTTTGACATTCGATGACATTCAGTAAATAATCCCAAAGGTTTATCAGCCAGGAGATGTAATTAGTTTATTCAGTGCTGACCACAAAGGCAAAAGAAGTTGTTAGTGGGATGATTTTTTTATATGATTGTAATGAGGCCATCTGGAAAATCCTGGACTATACATTGCCATTCAGCCAAAGGTCTGGACTCTGTTCATTTTCAATCTGCCACTTAAACAAACTGTATGAGTTGAGTTTTTTACTTTAAAACTCAAATTCTCAGAACGTACCTGTTTGTGTGGATAGACGTTGATGTGGCATTTGATACATTCTTGTCCCATGTTGGCCCAGGAGTTTCCACTCATCCACTTCCTCTTACACTTGGGGCACTTGTACTCTCCGAAGCATCTCTTCTTCCCCTGGTACGGTGTAAGCCCTTCACCTTTGGGTCTGGCCTGTAAAGACGAAAGCAGGTATATAAAACTTTTGAGGAGCATTCATTACAGACAGATATTTTTGTAGAGATCCTCCTTCATTCAATCGTTACAGAAGATGCCTTGCGAGCTGCAGTGTTCTTTACAAGCTTGTCTGGTTTTCCTCTCTGAACGGACAGCTTTTGGCACAATCTCCTCTAAGACCTAATACTGATGGTGTTTACGTGCTAGAAGAGAAGGAATTTCCTTGTTGCTAAAACCACTTGTTTGGCTCATCTTCACAAATTCTTCTACATAAGGAATTTTGCAGAGGGAGTCATATGCACTAACCTTGAAGTATGACTTTATTGTTGAAATTTTGAGTTTTGTGATCATATCTGTTTTTTTTTTTATTTTGTTCAACTTTATGGTGCCCCGAAGGATCACAGCCAGAATCTTTGCGTTCCCTCCAAGAAGTTTTCTTCTTCTATTCCTTCAGAGCCATATGTAGTGGAGTGCGGCTCAGGCTGCATTTTTCTGTCTGAACCCCAAGGGCCACATATCAGAGGGTGGATACCTGACCGAAGCCTAGTGGGACCCCTCAAGACCTGATGGGCTGGGCCAGGTTCAGACTAAAACTTATTTATTCAGGTTCAGGTCGGTCATCTAGGCTGAGCTGAAATATATATATATATATATTTTTTAACATTGCAGATGTCTGTAATTAGGGAACACAAGCGAAATCATGGGTGTCAGGGGCAAAAACTCAGTGCAGGTTACATTACCTGCATCTGGTTTTGCTGCAAAATACAGAATGCTTGTCAGGTTCGGGTCGGCCTCAGTAAGTTTTCTCTTGGGCTCGCATGGGTTCAGACAGAAAAATGAGGCCCAAGCTGCACCCTTTGGTGATTCTGAACTACTTTACTCTCAACATTTCATTTTTTCTCTCTCTTGACATCACAAATTTTTTTCTCCAAATGCATAGTTGGGAAAAAATCTTTCTGTTCTAATTTTTTTCTTATGTCTGGCCCTTGTACTCTATTATAATAGATGTCGAGTTTTGACAACAGGGTGTGTCCAGCCTTGTCATGCTAATATATCTAACTTCCGCGAACCCCTAAACAAAACTTTGGCACAGCGTGTAGTTGTGTAATTGACATTTACTTCCATAGCAGCTGTGTTAAATTACTCCACTGATGCTCATGAGCGAGATGATTACGAACAGTCAGTCAGCCGTGAAAAAAACACTGGCCTCGGGGCGATATTTCTGGGAGGAACAACTGCGATGACATCATTTTGGCAACTTTATTTAGGCCACTATAACAGCACCGGAGGAAAGAGTTATTTTACCCCTAAAAACATGTCACAAATTAACCTAAGAAATCTGAAAGGATCAATCCCATACTGTTCTTCATCCTGCCAGAGGAAACAAAGAAATGTGCAGATTTGTCAGAACGTGTTGTCGTCAGTTTCAAGCTCAATTATTCGAGAACTAGCATCTGCCTTGTGACAGTCATCATCAACCCACTTCGAAGACAAACTTTGGAGTAGCAAAAACGTCTGTTATTCTCTCTTTAAAAAAAATGAAAAAATGCTTTCATCCACAGATAGGAATCTAATGTGACAATAGAGACTGGTGGCAGCTTTCCAGAAGATTACAAAACGCTGCATTTAGAGTGAAAGCAGAGCTGTCCAGTCCACTACTGATTCTCCTGCAAGACTGCAGGTTGTTTGCATAATCACTTGAGCATTGGCCGAAGATTTCTGGGGGGGGCGGCTAAGGCAAGGGAGGGACACGATCTGAATCCTTCGTCTTCCCTTATTTTGTCCCAGCCTGTGTATGAGTAATAGGAACTTTAATCAGAGGCATTTGGCGTTGTCCTGACAGACGTCAGCACTTTGCATCAGCACCGGTGAACGAGCGCTAAGCATAAGCGGCTGCGCTTCAATCCGGCCCCTCAACAGCATGACCTCAACCCCACTGTCAGCTTCACATCTCCCACTGTGACAGGCACAGGCTGGAAACTCTGACTCCTGCTGGCCTGCAGCACAACAGCCCATGCACACAGACACAGCCGTCTTGATGCAATCAATGGGAAGTCTTAAAGACAATGCCATGGCAACATTTTGTTTGGATGCTCTCCTGCAAATGATCTAATCATAAAAGGATCCAACTATAAACTGGCTGCAATTCTAACTTTTAAAACCAAAATGCCAAAGCACAGCACTTTCTAGATTTGTGCTGCAGGAAAACTAGGTCATTGTAGTTATATCAAACTAAATAAATATGATTATTTTAATGTTTTAAATTAGCTATGATCCAAGCACGGGGTGTCCTACACAGGGGGTCTAACCTTAACCATCCTTACTCATTTGGAAATTGAGATTATTTCCTAGTACAGCTGCTTGTCTGAATGTGAAAAATCTCTGTGTGATAGTGCAGCCAGGACTCAGCAGGACAGAAACATCACTCATCCTTCTCATGACCATTCTTCTCCTGCTCCATGCTGTGTCCAGGGTTTGGCCTTGGCTCTTGGCTGCGCTTCATGCTCGGTCTGCAGCTGATTCCATCTCCCTAATGTGAGGATTTGAAGCTTTTCTTGGTCTTTCATTATAGTAAACACAATGTTTTTGGGTCAAGTATTGAAATTTGAAGTCGCCGCCAAGGCCCAACAGTCTCATGCACAAAACCGCACACACTCATAGATATCAGCCCTCTAAATATGTCTTTCATCAAAATCCATGAGCTGTTAAGGAAAGTGAATAAAAAAATCCTGCGACCAGCACTTCCACTCATCCTTCCATCAAGTTTAAAGGAAATTGTGCAATTATTTTAATCATGCTGCCAACCAAGCACACAAGCAGACTAACAGACAGGTGGAAAACATAACCCCCTTGGCAGAGGTTAACAACTAAATTCAGCACTTATTCAGACATTTGAAGTTAGAAATCTGAGTGTTCTCACATAGATTTTAGACAAAAGAGCGAGTTTAAGTTCAAAACTCATCAACTTTACTGGCACAGCTGGTGTTGCACATTCCAATGGGCACAGAAACACGTGGGAACAAATGTCACAACAACATCTGGGCTGTTGTATCACCACTGCCAACAGAGGCAGGCTGAGAGCGATGGTTCTGTATTCAGAGCAGTGGAGAGAAGTTTGGTTTCCTCACTTACTTACATACATACATACAGGGCCAGTCTTTCCATTTACATTGGTGCAGCAGATTACAAATGAAAACCCTCAGCTGTAAACACTAGAATGACTGAGTAAATGTTTTAGTTTGGCTTGACTTCCAGGAAAATAACCACGCTAACCGTACACACAAGGCAATGACTAATATAATGGAACTGCGTCAGCACAGCGCTCATCACTCTGGAGCCTGCATGGGAGGATCTGTTTTGTTTTCCTTGCTCTCTACAAATAAAGCCATTCAAGCTCATGCCAAGGGAAGAGCTAAATGGACATGTCTGAACCATTCGGGTCATTTAAAATGTCTGTAATGTGGAAGCAAAGCTTTGAAACAGTCAAACAAACTTGGTCGGTGGGGTCCGTGCCAGGAGATGGCGAGCTGTGTTTGTCGTGACACTCTGACCAAGCCGAGCTCGCACTGAGTCAATGTTTGTTTATGTCCCCAATGCTAGAGCAGGGCATGTTGAGATAAGGGTCAGTGTGTGTGTGTGTGTGTGTGTGTGTGTGTGTGTGTAAGACAGTATCCAAAGAAGACCGTTAAACTCAACAACCACAACTAGTTGAGCACACCCCCCCCCCCCTTTGGTCCAGATCACAGCAGGGACTCATCATAACACGCACACATGCACGCACACACAAGACGGGTCAGTGAACTGCTGAATGAAGCATACATGTGATACACACATCCACTGATGCAATCTCTACGCAAAACATGGCCACACACAGGCACAAGCAAACACTGACACAACGTCTCTCCCTCCACTTGTCCCCTTCATCACCCAGACCAAAATGTGCGCGGACACACACGGACACACTCAACATATTCCACATCCACAGGTTTTCATACACTCTTGAGACACAACTGGAAAGTCTCTACGCAAGGTTTCCTGCACTACTCCCACACTCAAGTGTTTAGCCCTGCTGCAAGGACACAGATGATGCTTTTGGTTATAACTCAGGATTAATGAGCTCACAAACTGCATTAAATAGAATAAACAGAGACAGTCGAGCAAAAAAGGGAGACAAAGATGAGACACAGGAGAACAAGATGAACGGACACACGAGAAAAGCTCATTATAACTGAGAAAGAATTAACATTGGACTTGGATGGGAAACAGCTTCTTGCTCCTCAAGGACTAAAAACCTGCTGATCTAGAATCACACTCCAACATCCACACAAACACACACACAAGGAGACAAAGAAAAGTGGACGAATACCACAAGCCCCACAGTCGCCCGAGCCAACTGCGGAGAGACCCCTCCAATCATCCCCCCTCAGGAGGGTGGAGTAAAGGGAAAGGAGAAACTGCAGAGAAAGAGAGCAAAGGAGGAGGAAATCTAAATCCAAAGCAGATGGCCTCCATAGGGGCTGAACACGAGAAACACTGAGGGCAGTCGTAAAATCTCAGCTCTGCTTTCAATTAGGCCATACATTTCAGAAACAGAGAGAGAGAGAGAGTGGGGTGGGGGATAAAACAGCGTTGACTAACCGCTGTAGCTCTGACCACAACAACAGAGGATCAGACTCATTATCACGTGGAGGAATGCAGCAACAATTCTCCTGGGGGGTTGATTTTAAAGGCACATATTGTATAAACAGAACAATATTAGGAATCTGAAACATGTGCACCATCGCAGGGAGATTACAGAATCTGAAGATGTGTGTTTAAGTAAGTGATCCCAGTCTAGACGACACCCACTGCGAAGTCCTTTCAATTTCAGGGTAATTCAGGTAATACCGTGGAATTGATTACAAGGTATGCAGCCCAGGCATCCAAGGAGTTTCAATATCATCTTGCAACAAAGCCATGCTGGAATTACGCGGTAGTTTAAATCATAAAAAAGGGAC